ACAGCGAGGGTCCCCGCAAACCTGCTGTGAAGGATGAGAAGAAGGGATACGTTGCTAACTACAAGGATGCCGTCAGTGGTTTCATGGTCAATGGAACCCTCCCCCTTGATGCGGCGCAGGGTGTCCACTCGTTGACCGATGTGCCCGTCTTTGCGCGCGGCCCGTGTCAGGAGCTGTTCGGAGGTGTGTATAGCTCGATTGACATCTTCTTCAACATGGCGGAATGCCTTGGATTGTCGGAGACGAAGCGAAATGGCAAGCCTCCCCATGGTGGAAAAGCATGATCAGTATAATTGGGTACCATTTTGGTGATGGCATCACTTTCTCATAGAATTTTCGAGCCGAATAATTAGAGGCCAGACTTTACAGCTCAATTTGTACAAGAGAAGAATATGAAATTATGTCGAGAATTCAGATTGCAATTTTAAGTAATAAACATCCTTTAAATATCAAGCAACACCTGCAGCATGTATACATGTACAATTAAACAGCAGTCTATTTACAATGGCCCAGCCAATTGATGCCATATATCAGTCCATACTTACCAAAGCAAATCTATAAAGCAACCATTTCCAACACTGGAAACGTTTTAAAATGTTCACCATAATAAAAACCAAGTTAGGTGGCGTTGTTCGCACAGGTCCAGCTAGCCTTGGACGAGCTCTCATTAATAGCCACTCCCGAGACGTAGAGACCCAATCCACACTAGTCTTGTCAGCTATAAATTCCGAATCTTGGAGAGAGGCAAAACATACAATAGCACAAGCAATTCCAAGAATGACCACGTTGATGACAGTCAGGGTGGTCTTTTTGATTGACGAGAACAAGTTGCCCTTGTTCATCATGAGCCAGAAAATGGCAGGGAGGCCGTCTGTCCTCGGTCAGTAATCCATTTTGCATCAGGATTTTAGTTTCAAAAGTCGACTTACAGCTAAACCAGCTTCCAAAGAGGGCACTCTGCAAAACGAATTAGTGGACGCACGGTAACAAATGCTTAGAGAACATACAATCAAACTCAGCAACTCGTTGAACACCGGAATGGACTCGGCGATGACCCAGGCAACAGTCCAGGTACTCAGGCCAATCGCGACCCATGTGCCCGTAGCCAGGAAAGTCTTCTGGTGCATGTGGTGCGACCGATCACCGCGGAAGATTCGAACATAGATATACTTGCAAGCAACGTGGCCGAAAACAACACCGGCAACAATGACCTATTAAAAATTAGAATAGACTCTCAAACCGCAAGGAGACAAGTAACACACCGTTGGAATGGCGAGGCCGTAGGCAACCTTCTTCATCATAGGTCCAGCCGACGAAAGAGCGGGAGATGCGACATCCGGGCCCGCATAGCAGTAGATGACCATGGCGGTCACAACGTACATAGTAGTATCGACCACCTGGAGCATAGCGAGGGCCTTGGGGAAATCGCGGGGATCCTGCATCTCCGACATGATACCGAAGAAAGAGACGTGGGCAATGAAGGCGAAGACGATGTTGGTGACGGCCAAGAAACCTTCCTGGAAGGTCGGGGTGGCGACGATATCGTTCTTGACATCAGCGGGTGCCTGGACACCGATGGAAACCATGGTGACGATGGTGGCGACCAGGATACTGAGGGCGGAGATGGTGGACATCCAGAAGACTTTCTCTGCCGTGCGTGGGAGGGCCGCAAGACAGCTGACGATCAAGCCGACAACTCCGAAGACAATGGTGCAGGTGCCGTGGTTCGTGATAGTGTTGAACAAGACCGAGAAGGTGAGAATGTGACTGGCCATCAAGAAAATGATGAACAGAAGCTGACCGACGAAGAAAATCTCGCGTCCGATGGGGCCTAGAAGAAGCTCGCCAGCATCGCCCATGCTGTGGACCTGGGGGTAACGCTGCTTGAACTGGCCCATGGTGTATCCAGTGTACCACGAGATGCCGGACAAGAACATAATAATGAGGAATGCCCTGGGAGATGGTCAGTTTTGTTCCAGCATCATAGAGGCAGACGTTTTCTTACGGGACAATTCCAAGGGTTGCTACTGCGGACGGAAGAGATAGGATACCAAGCGAGATGTTTTCAGCGACCATCACTAGATGAACAGTATTAGAAAGGGGATGCTGTTGACTGGGGTTAATGACGGGCTCTTACGCGTTCCAGCTTGCCTATATAAAAGTCAGAACTTTGCTTTTTGGTGCAACAAAAGCAGTAAACAGAGTGAGATACTGACCACCATGGCATGATGCGATACTTCACTTCCCCAGATTCTTCGTTTCCAAAGGGATCATCTGTAGGCTCTACTGGATAGGCCTTCTTCTCCATGTCGGTTGACTCATTGTATACTTCGTAGTCCTGAATAGGACGAGGTGTTTCAGGGACGCTCATATTGTTGAATAGTGTATGATATGAAAAAGTGAAGAAAAGAAAACGTCCAGGGCGAGAGAAAAAGGCACTGAAAATCGCTTGTGGAGGCCCAAAAATGAACGGTTGGCCAAGGGCTTTTGCTTGGCGTCCGAAATTATAAAGGTTAATAGAATCTTCTATCACCGGATATATAGTACTGGTTGAGAGATGCTCGGAAGCGTAGGGAGAGCAATTGTTGCCTAATGACGAACTCGCTCAAACACACTCTGGGGTGTCCGGGGTAAAATGCCAATGAGGTTGCAACTTTGAAGATGGCATTGAAAAATGCGTTCATGGGTTTGGCTAGCGACTCCGTGGGACGATTACATAAGCGTATCTTCACCGGCGCACCCGTCCATATTTGTGGGGTATTCGATATCAGGCGAGCCAACCCCGTACGCGGTATGCACCCTGGACATAGATTTTACCGGCCCGGCGCACCCGGCCCGGCGTTGAACAGCCCCCCGGAGGGGCATGTAACCCCCCCAATATCTCTCCTCAGCGATAACGTTTTTGAAAACTTTTAGTCAAGGTTTTATGTACTATCCATATATTGGGTTTACCCCAAATTTCAACCCCAGATCATACAATTTGGCTCTAGAAGAATCAGTTGCCACGAGAAGTTCGAAAAATTAAAGTAATGGTGCATAAACTAAAGTCCGACTGTGGCGCTTTTAACTTTATTACAAGACATACATAGAATTTTCTGGAAGCGAGATTCTCACCTATCAGGTCCCACGGCCCGATCTCGGGAGACTCAGCCATGAATGGGTTGCGAAGTCAAAACCCCGGGTCTTGGCGGGTTGGGTTCTAGTCCTGTTTCAAAGGAATTGGGGTCACTCCAGGATTGAATCCCGCATGGATCCGATCCATTTTCTTAGTTGACATGCGGGGTGTGGGAATTCCCTTTGGTGTGCACCTCCGCGCTCTCTTCATTGACCAGGCAGTTTGGTGCAAATTTCTTAATATAAGTACCTTTTGTGTGGTACTACCATACAAAAGGTACTTATGATCAAAATTTCTTCAGCGTCATATTCCTCCACCGCAGTATGGTATAGATAAAAAATGAATGTAATTTCAGAATGCATGGTATCAGGATTAGGGTATAGGAGATTGCTCTAAAGAGAAAAGTCATACAAAAGTCATACTCGAGGGGTCCCTAATAGTGCACGTTTTTCCATCTTCTAGTGGGAAAACACGTTTCAGCTTCTTTTTGAAACTCACAAAGTAGACCTGATTCTTAATAACAACTTACCTTCTGAATATCATGTCTCTTGGTTAAGAAATATGAGTTATGAGAAATTTTTGATTATAAGTACCTTTTGTATTGTGGCCTCATACAAGGGATACTTACATCAGTAACTTTGCATTGAGCTACTAACGGGTACATGGTTTCCCGGGCGGCCCACCCCGTTATTGGGCTAAGTAGAGGAGCCTAACAAGAAATCTGAGTTTTCACCTCGAGCATCCTGAGAAAGGCTCATTTTTATATGGAAATAACACTAAATTGCTAATTGACTGTTGTACAATAAATATCCGAGACGTTTGTGCACAACTTTTTATTTTCGCTTAAATTGTGCCGGTTATCCCGTGTATGTGAACACGGCTTGGAATATGCCATTGTCTTTATGCACTGAGCTAGGCTACTGAGGAGCTTTATATGAGATGCAATATGAGGCTGTAGAGGCGCCTCCGTTTTTGCTGAGCAGAGGCATTTTCTTGATGTGTTACGCTTCCGAAGGCATTAGTGCGATGCAACGTTACGTCGCACCAGGTAGTACCCAGTATGTTATGACACAAATATTGTAAAATTCGATAGGTGCAATAAGGAAAGTTTAACTTGTTAGGTCCCAGAAACGATAGGAGTCAACAAGTTGAAAGGTCAGGGAGCGATGGGGTTCTCTCACGGTACTCTATAATCGCTAGTTAATTATCTTCCCCATCTTTCCCATAACGGGGTACAAACATCGAATTGCCCTTTATTGAACAAATTTCAATTCCAAAATCGAACTTCTTATGCTACGTAAAACAGTCTCATAATGCTTCGTGAATCAATGTAGCGACATTACGCGTAGAAATTGAAATAATAAAAAACATAGGCAGCGATATCGTGCTGGATCGATACCGTGACCTCCGAGATATTTTGGGTCAGCAGCAAAAATGAGCTGGAATCCGCCAACGTACTATCTACCGACTCGAGCTCATTACCCATTATGGTCTAACGCGAATGATAAGAGACAGTGTATGAGATGGTACAAGTATCATAAGACCATATTGTAACTCTAGGGACGCGGCTAGCGTGGCTACGTCTATGGAATTCTGATAGACTTTAGCTTATATATATTTTCGTGGGGTAGCCCCAAGCTCCCCGTAGGGTCAGCACATTATGCAGTCAAATAAATCCCACTTGCTCTATTTCTCTGTCCGACCCATTGATAGCGAATGCACATAAATTCTTTCCCCATTGAGAACATTCACTGAGTAGCATGCTCCAGAATGTTGCACCCATCTCCTATACACTAACATTCAATTCCGAACCCGATCCGATCCGGATCCGGATGTTATCTCCACGTGGGGACGTTAAGCAACTTTGGAATACAGCAAAAGCATGATGATACAGTATGAATTCAAGGGCACATGAGGGGAGCTGTGCCTGTGCCTCCATGGTTAGAGTAGGATCGAAAAACTTCGAAATATACAGAATAATCAAAAGCCCACCCACCTCATATTCAATAGTGTCACCATACTATCCTCGAACAATGAAAATTACCCATCACCAGCATAGCTATCGTCGGGGCAAGTCATTTCGGTCTCTTCTTTGCCCTAGCCCTACATAGAGATTCCATAACATGCACCATCTACGGCGTCCGCCCTTGCCCCGAATCCATCGGTGAGGCCATCGTGCTCTCCCCAAATGCACCGGTTATCCTCGACAAGCTGGGTGCTTTCGTTCGCATCCAGCCCGAAAGCCACGAGATCTATGACCTCCACTCCGATACAGCGGCGAAAACGAGGTCGGAAACCGCTTGGGCTATGGCTACTCCGGCCTGCATGGCTACCACCACGTTGTGATTAAGGGGCGATCGTTCATAGTGGCGCAAGCTCGCATTCCCGTCATCTATGATAAAAAGTCGGTCCGAAACTCTCCCGGGTGGCACATGGGCCTTTGCCAACGCCAACAGCAGAACAGGGGGGGGGGGGGGGGCAGTCTACCCACTCAGCGCAGATGGTATCCACTCTTGTGTTCGCTCTCGGGTTCGCAAGGTACTCTACCAAGACATCGAGCAGTCCTCTAACACCGTGGCGTAACAACAGATAAACCAACCACCCAAATCTCCCTGGAAACGACGGCGGAGTGCAGAGTAGTACAACCTCCCTGTGACCATAATGAACCAAACCCGCGGGGCATTTATGATCGCCGGTGGTATCTTGGCAGGGAGGTCGACAGGAAAAGATTTATGGGGTCTTGGAGCTCAGTATTACTTTCTTCAAGGTTGGTAGCCTTGCACTGACTACAGCACCATGTCGAGAAAGGGAACGTCACTGAAATGGCTCAACTTGGTGTAGGCATCCTTCAAAAAGCCGAGACAGCCCAGTGTTTCATAGCTGTAAGAAGTGAAAACAACTTAGTCCTCTTTGAGAATTAGTGTCATGATAGTTTGCATAATGATAAATGCGACCGTCGATCGAATTTACTCGTACTAAGTCAATTCCTTGCTTAGTTGCCGTATAGGTTACGAAGAGAATCCTAGCTTTCTAGCTGCCCAACCTGCCTCAATGATATCTTCATCACACTCCCGGTGCATCCGAGCCCAAGACGGCTATCTATTTGCCTTAGAACTAGATTGTTAGGTGCTATATTACGAGTATCTAAAAAAAAAAAACATTTAGAGTAGTTCCAGCTGGATCCCAGACGGTGTAAACAATATAGCATGGGCCCAAAAGCGCAGCACCGGCTTCATAAATTCACCTCGCATCGCTTAAGTACAAATTGCACCAAGATATCTTTGCCAATTCTGGCTGCTCTCCTCAGCCTTCTCACCAAGCAACGCTGTCTCCTGCACCGTTTTGGGTGCAGTAATAGTTTAGTTCATCACCTCCGATGTGCTTTCCCTGGGACTCGCAATAGTATAGCAGGTCCTTCTCGTTCAGGAGTGTACAATCGGGGCATGTATCCCATTGCTTGCTACCAGTGTTTCGGTTCTTATAAGCAGTGCATGCCTTTTCAGTCGCAGCTCTATTGTATACCTCCTATAATATGGTTAGAACTGTATTCCCCAAGGGTATAAGCTTTCAGCTGGCACTTACCACTCCTTTGGCAGGGGTATCGATGCAAACACCTTGAGTGTGCAGATCTGCGAAAGCACTACAAAGAATCAGTGTCTGTATCAATGATGTCAATTTGGAGAACGTCTTACCCAACAGCAAGAGCTGCGATAATAAGTGAAATGGACTTCATCTTGATGGTAATGGTATGGGTGATAATTATCAAGCTGGCTTTCGAGGATTGGGTGGCAGATGTAGATTTAAATGATGATCGAAAAGCCAGAGAAGCGGTACGTTAAAAGGGACTTTGATAGTCCTTCTAAATTGAGTTTACCTGTCTCTCCGCACGTCAGGTCATACAGATCCCCATTGTTGAAATGAGACAACATAAGACATAATTTCCGAGCAATCCCCATCGGAACGATGATCTTTGATCTGCATTTCCCCAACTGCATATATGGTGCCTTGTGATCATTCCTGTTATCCTGAAAGATCCCTTAATGCGCAATATGTCTCACAACCAAACCTATGGGGGTACTATGGAGCTGATTAGCAAGAGTTTAGAGTTTAGCTAGCCATTTAGGTTCTAGACCATCAGCACGTGGGAACTGTATCTGTCAGGGTTCTGATCTACAAGATGATTAACGGAGTTCCGATCTTCATTTCCAGTGGCTATATACTCGCAAAATGAATTTTAATCCTCATGGTCGATATTTCCTTCAGCAACGCATTCAAAAATGCCTAGATCCAACTAGAGCTTCTACTATTTCGTACGGAATACTTCGGTTGAACTTGGTTTGGCCCCCACGGCGTCTCACTGCCCCTTACCAGGATCAGCAAATTTGCCCCACAGCCGTTACACGCCCCAGGTCTCAATTGCCCCGTGGCTTTCTTCAGGACCAATGCATTTGACCAGTAGGATCACCCGTACAGAGCTTATGATCTACATACATCATCCTCTGGAGATCCTGCAGGAACTCAAATTGATTAGCCTGTCGCAATCTCTCCCCACCGTGGCTTGATGTTATCATCACCGGTAGATCCCCGGCTATTCCTCGGAAGGATACAGCTGAAACAAGGTGGATTCTTGCATGAATATGTTGAGCTTCTATGGTGATGGTATATTGTAGATCTGCTGCGGTAATATGGCTCCGTAGGACGGTTTCGTCTAGTTTGACAAAGTATACCATCCTTCCGGAGCTGTTGGAAAACCCGTTGCCTTCCCCGGGCGACTCTAAATAGCGTGTCCTTTCCGTCGCTGAATTTGCGATATCACTTCCCTCCAGACCCATTCTTGGTCAATATCCACGGTCCTTTACCAAATCCCTCCTTGTTGGACATCATGAAGATCGACTTGGTCTTCCTTGCTTCTCTCTGTGCCAACAGTGCACTCGTTTCTGCCCTACCGGCCGATACAGCCGACACCGCTCTTCTTCTTTTGGGAGATGGCACCACACAGACTATAAACAAGAGAGACCTAGCTGCCAATCTACCTGGAGTCTCTCTGTCCCCGCCTACGAATTCTCCCCCGAAGTTCATTGAGACTGGATCTAATGATTCCGCCCCCTCGAGACGTCTGGGCAAGCGCTCCGGTGCCCAATTCATCATCTCTCTTCCTGACGAGAAATTCCTCGGCTGGGACATCGCAATGTCTAGCATCGTGCATGCCAACGAAGCCGATGCCACTGCTGCTATGGCATCAGGCCAATCCATCGCAAACAGTATCACGGTTGGCGCCTCGTATACCGCCACCGTAGAAGGGTTCCTAAGTGTCGGTGCCACCGTCAGCTACCAGTACACCGAAACTGCTACTCTCACCGGCACGGTCACCATGACAATCCCGAAGAACAAGTGGGGGGCGATTGTTAGCAATCCTTTGACTAACCGCAGAAGCGGATACGTATTCAGCGGACAGCCTGGAAGTGGACAATATGAACACTTCCAGGCGGATTCTTTCACCCAGGATACTTACAAGTATGGTGCCAACTCCTTGTCTTGGGTAAAGGGTGTTGTTACCACTTGCTTGGGAGACACTTACCCTCTGAAGCGCTGCGTCGGAGATGGTAGCTTGGAATAAGTCTTCAACTTCGGTGACTTCGTCGGCATTTTCAGGGTTTGAACCATGGATATTGCCCACGCTTTCACTTCACAATATGCCTATTGGGCGCAATAAGACTCTAGCGGTAGAGGTCTTGATTTCCTGTTGTTTTTTATGTTGTACATAGCGGCTGTCTATTTCCAACTGAAGCACTAGTTCCAGCGCAATAAATGTCCAGTTCGTGTTAAAATATAGTATTGAGACTATGAGGGACTTTGTCAGATTTTGATAACCTAAAGAAGGTTGGATTATGTGACTGGAGGTCCCAGCAAAACCCCTCCTCTTATTTATTTTTCCCCCTCTTTACATCTAAAATATGAGGACCTGTGGGATGGATACCAGAAACGGCCGCCTTTCCACTCGTAATGTTGTTCGTCAAGCCGCCGCTTGACTGCCCACTGGAACACCGCTATTCTGCACCCGCTTAGCATTGTTAGTTATCCTCCAGTCCTGATGCTGCACTCGACTTCAACGTTTGTTCCTCCTATTTCTATTAGCGACCAAAATGGGCTTCTAAGGCGAGATTTTAAAGAAAGCCCCTTTGGCTTTTACCGGCCAGTGCCTTATCAGTTTGTTAATGGAGAGGATAGTCGGACCGGGAGGACTATAATCCGACAATAGTCCTCCAGTTCTCCACCCCCCACCCTCCCCACCTCTCTTTCGCACGGTCCACGCGCTTATCTCCGTCATAGGAACTGCAACATACGCGCGGGGAGATTCTTGTCTCCATCCTAGTACCTCACCCCACTCGGAAGAACCATTTGAGCAGTAACTCGTATGAGGCTGCTGAGTGTTCAATGCCTGGCGTTCCGTCAAGTCGAGGCTGTGAGACGTGTCAGCAAAAAAGAAGTGTGATGAATCAACCCCCAAATGTTCGCGGTGCACTCGCGTACAGATTCCATGTGTCGATAATGGAACCCGACGCTTCAAATTCCAAGAGCTAAATTTACCTTCTCGAAGCCGAAACAGCAACCTATTGAGAAATTGACCATTATTGTGGCACCCACTACAGCCTAAAAGGCCGATGACAGCCAGCCACGAGTCACAAAGACTAAAGTTGTTAAACGAGCCTACCATACCAAAGATAGAAAAGGGTGCAATACCTGCAGGTACGCCACCTCAAACAGTCCTTGGTGACCAGCTCTAACCAAGCCACCATCAATAGGAGTAGGAAAGCACGTTGTGACGAGGCGAGACCGGGATGCAAGCAGTGTGTTTCTACTGGCCGCAGGTGTGACAGCTATGCTACCATACCAGCCTTTGGGCCCCACAATCCACATAATCTTCCGATTCGGGCCCTTCAGGTTGTGGCTAATCCTATCTCGCCTCTCCGTGGCAAGGCCCCTAAGGAACTATGTAGCTTCCGTTCCTTCATCGATGTGACAGCTCCTCCACTAGGAGGCATCTTTGATTCTACATTTTGGAATACAGAATTTCTAGAGCTTGCTACCTTGACGGTGTCATCTGGCATGCCATTATTAGCCTCGCGTCAGCCCACGAATCTTCTGTCTCCACTGTACCTGTTGGTACATCTACAACGCCTGACAATTTGCATACCCTCCTGCACTATAACCTAGCCGTCCAGGACCTGCTGAAGTCATACCCAACCGAAGGCTGGTGGCGGATTTTTACCCTTTGCATTCTTTTCACATCTATTTGCTGCTTGGAGAACAAGTACCCTGAGGTACAGATGCATTTCAAGTCTGGGTATAAGATGATCTGCCAGATTGATACGCCCGACCATTGCCTGCATGGATCTGCCGAATTAAGGAGACAAAATGGAACCGGCTATCAGGCCGAGTACCCATACCAACCTCTGTTGCCTCACTTCGATCCATGCTCGAAACCTTCGAACTGCAGTATTGAAAGCTCGACGCCGCCAAAGCCCAATAACTTCCTACACTACTTACAAATGTGGTTAGCTTCGTTCTCTGGAGACTTCATCTTTGTCGTCTTCTACGGCATCTCTAATGAATGTTTCTTTGACCACACATGAGGAGAATAACTACAAGGATTTGATATGCTATCTTCGGGAAACCTGTCCCTACGGGCATCAAATTGACGTCTTCAACTACCAAGGTGCTTGCCCCACTCTGCATTTTGCGAAATTGTCAAGCTGTTGAACGGAAAACAGCCCACAAGCTTGAGAGGAAATAACATCGTCAGGCTGTTGAGCTGACACTAACCCACATCCCTGGAGGGCAACGAGGATGAACCGCGATATACCATGGCTTTTTGGAGACACAGGATGATGGAGGTTTCTACCTACTACCTTCAGCCCGCAGGATGAAACGGAGCTATGACCACACAATGGACAAATACTAGGAAGATGATGCGATTCTCGATCTCGATTCCATGCTAGGCATCGAACATGACGAGCACGTCCTTTCCACAATTCCACAGAGGACGGTGCCTTCGGAAATACCGGTGGGGCCTGAAAAACGGAAGACAACTGCAGCGAGACCCATGAGCGCGGCCAACAAGGCCAAGCATAGGAAGGAGGTGCGGAAGTGGAGTAAAAGAAGAAAACCTACGTAAGCAAGTCCTGTGTGAAAGCGCGAATACGGTATTGTCTGTATGAACACGAGAAATAAGGGGCGAAGAAAGGTGTGGTGCTAGCGTCACTCTTGACATTTGAGCGTGTCGCAATGAGGTTGCGGTAAATTTACGGGCTTATATAAATTATAATGGGTTGGAATTATGCTATTTACGGCCATACGACGACCCAGCGGTGAGTATTATGATACTTGGGCGACTTTACGACTAAATAACAGGGGTCGGGTGCGGTGTGGACTTGTATGGTATCGATCCTGAAATTTATTCGAGCTACTCGCAAGGCCGAAGGAGCGAGTCAAGCAAGGTATGAGGTGTCGTGGCGCCCAGACACTCAGCCCCGTAATAATTTATAAGTCTGGGATTTTCTGAGGCTGAACATCAAGAAACTAAACATCATTAACATCATTAACTACGCAAGATGAATAATAGGGGTCATTCACACTACTCTATAACCGGGAGGAGGCCAGGGCTCAAAGCGTCCACTCGGTTCCAACCAAAATATAGGGCCATTCCGCCTTGGCCCCATCGCAGGAGAAATGTTAGCCGTTGGCCAATAACTCGAGTATTATCTGTCGCTTGGCAGACTTTGGCATGGGTGTGCGCAACATTCGACCTAATTCGGTTAAGGCATATTAGATATGACCTTTATACCGGAGTCGAGTGGTAGCTAAAAATAAATATTGCGAGTAGCGGTCACGCCTCGACATCCTTGCTCTTATTCCTGCCATAGTCCAATCGCTCCCATCTCATCACCAACCCGCAGATGAGACAGATGGCACCGCCGGCCACCACTAAATAAAACTCCCGACCAATAACTGTGGCCACGGCGTCAACTCCACGAGAAAGAACCTCGGGATTGCCAGACTGCCACACTGCTGATGATACCCCGGCGAGCGCCTCACGCAGTTCTTTTTCTGAGTACCCGTTATCCCCAATGGCATCCGTCAGCAGGTTGTACCCCACATTTTGGAAAATCGAGCCCGCAATCGCCAGGGCAATTGCAATGCCGCCCATCTGTGCCATATTGAACATGACCGCGCTGTCGACGCGGTCGCGTGGGGTCTTATTTATCACATTCGAGACACCCACCCCATGCTGGAACGAACAACCCAGACCAACGCCAATCAGTGCTTCTAGGCCTAACACCTGGGATTCTGAGACGTGGGGACTCAGTGTGCCGGCCATGGCGCCAGCCCCCGCGATCGTGGCAATTCCCGCAACGATGTAGATCAGGTTGTAGCGGCCAAAGATGGGGAGCGACGCTCCGACGAGGATGACCACGGCGATGAATACCAGAACGAAAGGAAGAAGCCGGACAGTTTGCTTCATGGCGCTGTGGCCGCGAGCGAACGCGAAGAAGAGTGGCGTGTAGTAGAGTGTGATGGCGTACGATGCGCCCGCACATCCAGACGCGATCCAAAGCGGAAGCAGGTCAACCCGACTCAGCAAGTGAAGGGGGATAGCGCGTTGCTCAGAAGTCGTGCCAATGCACCAATATTGTTGGGCGATCCATCCAACCAGGACCACCCCGAAAACTACCCAGGTCGCGATAGACGCACCAGATCCCCAGTCCCATACAGGACCGGAGAACTCCAATGCGAGGGCAAATAGTACTGGGGCCGCTATGTTAAACGCAATGCCGATGGGGTCAATCGCCATCAATCGAGAGACTAACGGAATTTCCGGCCCTAGGTATTTGCGAGGGAGGCAGAGAATGGCGCCCACAAGACTGAGACCTACCCATGGTAGGTTCATGTAGAAAGCCCACCGCCAGGTGGTGTGTCTGTTTGAGGCGAGAGCGGAGCCGATAGGACCTCCAATGACGAGACCCACAGCCCATATTGCGCTCAGAAGACCGAATAGGCGAGGTGTCTCATCGGGCGTGGCGAAGACGGCGACAAATGTCAGGTTGCTATGTTGCTGTGAGTCCTATGAGCCTAACAACGTCAGAGATGGATTGGAACAGACCTTTGGTAAACAACAGCACCACCGACACCCATGATGATCCGTCCTACAATGACCGTAGGGAGATTGAGAGCTGCGCCGGCGACAGCAGCACCAGCCATGAATATCACAAGGTTAGCGATATAGATCCACTTCATGTCGACACAATACAAGATCTTCCGGGAGAAGGATAGGACGGCAAACACGGCGAGGCTAAAGGACAAGCTGATCCATGGCAGAAGCGTAATGTTGCCGAAGGCCTTGTAAAGGGCGGGCTGGATATTGGCCACATTGCTCACATCATAACCTAAAACAATGACTTCGTCAGAAGGATGATGTGGGATGCGCGTGGCGTAATGATATAAGGGCTTAACCGACCATTAATGAGGGTTGTCAGAACAAGGACTGCAAGCGTTCCCTTCCATTTCCAGTCGGGGATATGGCTGCGAGGATGGGCCTCTAGCGACAATGAGCTCTCG